CGGCTTTTAAAAAAAAAAAAAAAAAAAAATAGTTCGTAGAGAGAGAGAGAACCTCCTGTGCCTGCTTCAACTCTGACGAAGAAAGAACATTTTCTTCCCCAAATGGAAGCAGCAGCTGGGATGCAACATAAGAGCCGAAACAAAATACAAGTTTTTTTTCAAGATATGCCCTTGATTCTTCATTTCCATTCGCTGAACCTTCATTTCTAGCCTTACTAATCTTGGTGCATGCGATTCCCTGCGAAAAAATGAGCCCAATTTCTGTAAATATTTCACAAGAAACATATTGAGAATATGACTCCAGAAAGTACGTTCCACAGTCATCCTCTTCCAACTCTAGCATAGTGGACACACCTCTGAAAGTGTAAATAAAATATAATAAAAGAAACTTTATAGGAAGAAGAATTGTCAAAAGAATTCTATTCAAACAAGGATAAAGCTAGAGAGAGTAAACACCAGAAACCTTGCATTTATATGCAAGAACGCTCAACTTTAAGTGTGATTAAGATGATATCAAAAGGATAATTTTCATCAACTAATTGTGAAAAAGATGTTTGAACATGCAAGATATGGAACCATCTCCCTCTTGTGAAAATTAATCACAAGTGGGAAAAGTGGCCAACATTCCCTTTCTGTCATAGGCTCCCTCGTCATAACTCTATTGGAGTTACCCATACAACAGACTGACTACTAGAAGGGAAAGGAACCACGCAAACCCAAAGGAAGCGACTTAAGTTCGTGAAGTGAGGCATAAAAAATGATACCATATCTTACCGAATAATCTCCTCACAGTTAATGGTGTCCTACTCAGATCCTTTAACCCAAGTGATGTAAACAATAATTATCTTGTCATTTAGAAAATTCCAAGTGATCAAAATTGTGCTGGACATAAGAACTACCTATTTGGAATTATAAAGCACTTAAATTGCACAATTTAGCATTTGTCCTGAACACCATCATGCCCACAACATTAGCTCCTTCAGATTTAAAATAAGTGGTTTGAAACATTGACATTCAAACATTTCCAAACCATACCACCTAGTCATTACCTTGTACGCAGGTTATTTTAGAATTTGTGTTATAATTACTATTGACCTATAATAGTGTAACGTAACTCAATAGGTTAATGTGAAATGCAAATACTTGTAGTGGGTAATATTACGTATATAACATATTCAAAAGCGTATAGTTGGCAGTTGAAACAGAATTGCTACCTCCCAAGAAGAAGGCTCAAGCCATAGATTATCAACAACATCAAAATTTGGTAATAGAAGAGCTATAAGACCACGACCAGCAGCCCAAACCGCATGTGGAAATTTGGTTTCCCTCGTCCACTACAAGAAAATAATAGCAAAAATTAGTTCCTTGTCTTACAATTTCAGGAAGTTTGTTTGAACATTCTGATTGTTGAGACTACATAAAAGAAAAAAAATAATTAATTACTAATGCTTCATCAAATGCAAAAGAAAGATGACACTGGATTATAGAAGCGAAAGCTAACAAAAGTTTCAAAGGAAAATGAACCAACATTCATATAAAAAACTGATTTGAGAAAATGAGAGAATGCAAAGTGGTGACAGTGATATCATGAGCTTCCAATGACAAAATTATCATGTCTACTAGTCACTGTCACGTGCATTGCACGAATTTTGTATTTATCGTATTTTTATTAGCGTATGAATTTTAGTTTTTTTGAATTTTTTTAAGTAATATCTAGAAATATTTTCATGATATAAGAAAATAATTGCAAATTATTTTTACAATTGCATAACATTATTGTGCCATCTAGAAAAAATATGCTTGTATATTTTATGCTTGAATAAGAAATACTATATTCTTTGATAGTGTTGATATGATTGAGTTGAATGTGAAAATTATATTTCTAAATTTTGTGTAATTCAATATTGGAAAATTGAAGATTGAGCACAAAGTTATAAATCGACTTACATATTCATATGCATTTATATTTTGTGCTTTATATATTTTAATATTTATTTACTGCTTATGTTGACAAAATAAAAATTTGAAATTTTTTTTTTTGACATTCGATTTGGTAAGTGAATATACGGTGTTCTGCATTCTCGATATTTATACGTGCAAAAATCGGTATATGAAAATACGGTAGACAATATATACGGTAGACCGCAAATATGGTAGGCAGCATATACGATAAGCTGCCTGTAAATATGGTAAGCTGCATATACGGATTTATAATTTGTTATAAATGTATAAAATTTATTTAATATTGAATTTCTTAAGTATGTTGTAATTCAATATTTTTTTTCTTTTTATATAATTGTATTTCCGAAAATTTAAAAAAAAAGGGTGGTTATGAAATTGCTATTTTTTCCCAGTACCTTTCCCATTTTAAAGCCATCCTAACAAATGAAAAGCATTGCTCAATAAATAAAGTAAATTAAATGAGGAAAATAGTAAACACATTCATTATGATCTGTATTTTATACAAGCGAAAAATAGATAGAAATCATATTAGAAATAATCTTTTATGATTTGAGGTAAAAGATGAAAAACTTAGATACCTTTGTCAAGAATCCATGGTAAAAAACCATCGAGAGAAATATACATCTAAGAAAAGTAGGGAAAGCAGATAGAAAAAAAGGGGAAAAAAATTACAGATAAAAAAAAGACCATCTCTCCGCATTCTCCGCAAGTAGAGATAAAGTTTCCACTTGGGGTGGACTAAAACTTTTTTTGGGCCAACCTTTTTACCATGCCCTACTATCTATCGATTAAAATAATTAACCTACAAATGCATATTATCTTTTGTATTGAGAATTTATGTGAATAAATTAAAATTTTGGTGGAGAATTGTTACATATTGAGATTACAATGAAATTAAATTTAGAGCTTGACGAGAGTTCTTGTATCTTGTATATATTATTTTCTCGTTTAAAGACTTGTTATATATTACTTTTTCTTGAAAGAATCTCAGTCGGCTGGATAGTGAAGCGGAACAACTTTGCCCGGGGATGAAAATTTTCCAATCGGTTCAGTCAGAAAAGGAAGTCAGGTCAGAAGTACGATCATTAGTGCTAGTAGTCTGATCGAATTTATGATTATTTTTCATGTAACGCAAGATTATTTAATAAGCAATAAGGATTAACATTAATTAGTGACTAGTAAAATGTGCCTATATTAATAATTAGACATTATCATAAGCCATATAAAGTAAAACACAAAGTAACAAACTTTTAAGAAAAATGTTACTATTTGCTCCGAAGGTAAGCCTTGCATTTTTGTGTTGTGGAGAGAATTGGGAAACATAGTGTTGGAGTATTAAGAATAATATATTTTGTTATTGTATGACATATGGAATATGGTCTTGTATTTATGCTTGTCATAAGAAGGGAATTCGTTAGACAAATTAAATTTTGTAAATCACTTTAGAAAACTTCCTACTCAATTTTGAGCAAATTATAAGCATGGAATAATTTTTCATGGTAAAGATTATGCTTTTCAGAAAAAATTTATCTTTCCAGTCATCTTGAGTTATAATTGTCTCTTTTTCTTCTCTTTCTTTTTTAATGTTTTCCTCTTTTGCTTCTTTTCTCCATTTTTAGAGTATGATATTGTATACTTTTAGGTACATTGTAATATCGAGCAATCTTACAAATCCAAGAAATATTTAATTTGATCAGAAGTAAGATATGAATGAGCTTAAAACACATTATTTTGATAACTTACTAGTAGAGTTCACGAGAAATTGTAACACGACCGTAGAACAAAGGTTAGTACTTAGAGTTTGAACAAATAAATAAGTTTCATTAAAGTATCTAAAACGATAATTGACTTGATTTCTCGATGAGTTTCAGCACAATATTAAAGTTTGACTTGAACAATAAAAATATTAAGGTGTTTGAGAGATAAAATACAAATTGAGCAAAAATTTTACAATTTGATTGAGAGAGGAGTTTGAGAGAAAAAGAAATGGAGTTGTAGGAGAGAAGAAAGATAAATGGCGTAAAGAAATAGGGAAAAATAGATATTGCATAAAGAAATAGAGAAAAGTAGGAAAAGCAGAGTGGAAAAAAAAGAAAAAAAATTACTGGTAAAAGAAAAAGAAAGAAAATCTCTTCGCACAGCACGAAGAGATCAACTCTCTCCGTACAGTGCGGAGAGTTGGTTTCTCATCTCTCCACACTGTCCGAAGAGATTTTTTTCTCCACACTTTTTTTTACTCCACACATGGTTCAACTCTCTCCACGCTGTGCGGAGATTTTTTTCTCTTCGCACTGTGCGGAGAGGTATTTTTTATTTTTTTATTTTTTAACTCCGCAATGTGAGAAGAGCTTGCCAACTCTTCGCACATAGTTTGCCATCTCTCCGCACTGTGCAGAGAGTGTTTTTTTCTCATGGCAGTTTATATATACGAAAATTATTATTATTTTCTAATGCTAATAAGAACATTTTTCTGACAATAAATAAAATGGAAAATAAAAAATGACATCATGCACAGTAAAATTGGATTAATTTACTGTTGCATCAACAGTAGTCATTCGTTCCCCTTTTTATAATAAGTGTGTGAAGAGTTGGTTTGTCATCTCTTCGCACTCTGCGGAGAGGTTTTTTTTTACTCCGCACATGGTTCAACTCTCTCCGCGCTGTGCAGAGAGTTTTTTTCTCTCCGTGCTGTGCGGAGAGTTTTTTCCTCTCCGCACTGTGCGGAGAGGTGGTTTATTTTTATTTTTTTAATTTTTTAACTCCGCACTATGAGAAGAGTTTGTCATCTCTCCGCACTATGCGGAGAGTGTTTTTTTATCATGACAATTTATATATACTAAAATTATTATTATTTTTTAATGCTAATGGCATGATGTGTGGAAGAACATTTGTCTGACCATAAACAAAATAGAAAATAAAAAATTGACATCATGCACAGTAAAATTGGATTAATTTACTGTTGCATCAACAATAGTCCTTTGTTCCCCTTTTTATAAGAAGTTAGATAATCCTCTAGTTTCATCCACAGGAAAGATTACCAAAAGTATAGATTACACGTAATAAAACAAAGATAATCAATGAAGCAATTAAAAACTAAAAAATAAAACTCTAGCTACTTTTCCTAAACTAAGTACCTAACTTGGAATATCTTCCAAATATGAACTCCATCATTTTTTCTCAACTAATAAAACTCAACTCGGGCGAGGTAAATTGCAACGGCTTACCTAAACACGGCAATCTTTTTTTCCCGAGCATACAATGACCATCAAAAGTTCAAATCACCCTCATTAACATCATCTAAACAAGAGGACGATCTTTCATTCGAATCCAAATAGCAACAACTTATGCGACCATCCACAAAATTTGCTTCAAAATTTACACAACATGTTATGCAAACTGACGAGCAAAAACAAATGATTGCAATGCCAGCGACTCGAATTTGCCCATAAAGAAACAATTATGATATATAGAAAACATAATTTTCATTCAAATGTGACACTTTAGGTGTGTTTGATTGGAAAAAATTTCATAGAAAATGGGCAATCGCCTCTTTCCATCCGAATTTCAACTTTTGGAGTGTTTGATTGCCTTTTTTACCACGGAAAATATTTTCTAAACTTTGAAAATATGTCTAGTTTCCCTTGTTTTTTAAGAAAATGCATTTTTTTTTTTTTTTTGGGAGGTAGGTTTTTATTTTCCTCAAAAAAAGGAAAATATTTTCTTTTCTAGGAAAGTTTTTTCATACCAATCAAACACACCATTAATCAAATAAATTATTTTCATGTGAATGATCTAAAAGTCTTTTCCTGACGTGTTTAGGATACCAGGTCAAAGAAACACATAGAAAACATAGTAATTCCCAATAAAAAATGTGTGCATATGTTGCGCATCAAAAGTAAGGTCATAATTTTCATTATTCAAAATAATGCTTTGCTTAATCTCATCATGAAAAGTAGGAATATGGACAGCAAAGTCAAAGCTAAAACACTACGACAGTAATTAGTAGGCAACAATCTAATATTAATAGGAAAAGTATGCAAGGATGATTGCTTGGAAAAATATAGCAATCTGAGGTAGAGTTAATACCAGGTCAAAGGCAATGTTAAAATCAAGCAAAAAGTAGACAATAAATTCAACACTAATTTAAAAACATGTGGGATGTCTTGCTTAGGTGGCTATTTCTTAGGTAATTCCTCAACTTTGTAATTGATAATTGTGTATACTGCAGTTGTCATCACGAGAGGAATCACAATACAATACTTAAAAACTCTCATCCTCACCATTAAAACATTCTATAGGATCAAGAATAAAAATCTCAAGGTCTTCTATACTCAATGTATCCAAAATGGTTGTTTGGACAAGATTATGATATGTACACGAAAAATTTTCAGCAAGACAATGAGGACACAAATGTTTGGGAACTAATATACAAATGTTGGGCACAAGAGGAACACTACCCTGAACAAAATTATGATTGCTTGCAGTCAAAGAAATTGTAGCCAGAGGTTCTTGAAGAGGACTAACACAACCAAACTCATAAGATGTGGCATATTTAGTTTATAACATGCCTAGCGAAGATGGAATGACAAGTACATTTGCCTTGCTTTAAGCTTCATCCAATGACTAGGGTGTAGGTATGTTGTCATGGCTGATATCAAGATTCAAACCATTGAGAAATCTAAAAGTTATGACATGAGGAGATTCAAAGTATCACAAATGTTTAATAGCTTTTCGAAATGGGTAAGATGTGCGCTCACAGTGAACATACCTTATCTATAGAGCAATGGAGTTCGATTATAGATAGGAGCATATTTGTTTATAATATTCTTTTCATCTCATCCTACAAAGTGATACTGCGCTGACCTAAAGGGTTAATGTGTTACGAGAATGATTCACACTAATGCCTAGGAGATCCAACAAGTGACACTAGCATGATAAATATGATGAGAGTCACTCATGTTGTGAAAGTTAAATAACCTTCATTATCAAGCCAGTTAAGAGATGTCTAGGAAGTCCTATAGTTTTAATTTGACTCTCCTAGTAGTATAATAGATATCCTCAACATAGTCTCTAAAGTGGTGACAA